TGCAGTTACGGATATGAGGGTTAATATCACTTCCCGGCTTTCCACACCGTGAAAGGATATTTTCTTGAGAGACCTGAAAATGAAGTTGGATTACCTTACTGCTGTCACACCTCTGTACAATCAGCAGTAGGCCTTCGGACCTTCTGTTTACTGCTTTTAGTCTTACCACTCTTAAAACGACCTGTCTGGCATGGTTGGACCTTGAGGAACGATTGGTCCAGCCAGTATAGCTCGATTGGTTTATCACAATAAGCATGAGTGACCACCACGCAAGGTAGCTGCAACGGCCGGGACGACGGGCTAAAGTGCAAAGTCGTGCATGGAGGACATCTGACAGATGCATTTCCAGTAAGGACCGAAACATATAAGGCTGTCTATTCTCCCCCTACTCTTTATTGTGGTGATTGACTTGATTATGAAAACCTCGACATCTGAAGGGATGCGCGGTATACAATGGGCATCTAAGAATCAATTAGACGATTTGGATTTCGCAGATGACCTAGCACTCTATCTCATACACACGAGCAAATACAGACGAAGACAGCAAATATAGTAGCAGCCTCTACATTAATAGGCCTTAACATGCACAAAGAAAAAAGCAAGATTCTCAAATACATCACGGAGAACAACAACCCAATCACACTTGATGGCGAAACTCTGGAAGATGTAGAAACATTCACGTACCTGGGAAGCATCATTGATGAACAAGGAGGATCTAATGCAGATGTAAAGGCGAGAATCGGCAAAGCGATGACTGCATTTCTACAATTGAAGAACATATGGAACTCAAAATAACTCAACTAATTTCAAAATGAGAATTTTCAATACGAACGTCAAGACAGTCCTACTGTACGGAACTTAAACGTGGAGAACTACTGCATCCATCATCAAGAAGGTACAAGTATTTATAAACAGTTGTCTACGTAAAATACTCAACATTCACTGGCCGGATACTATCAGCAACAGCGTTTTATGGGAGAGGAAAAACCAGCTTCCAGCTGAAGAGGAAATTAGGAGAAGACGTTGGAAGTGGATAGGACATATATTGAGGAAATCAACAAACTGCATCACGAGGTAATCCCTATCTTGGAATCCGGAAGGGAAGCGGAAAAGAGGAAGGCCAATAAACACATTACGCCGGGAAATAGAAGCAGATATAAAAAGGATGAATGTTAACTGGAAAGAACTGGAAAGGATTGCCCAGGACAGGGTTAGATGGAAAAAACTGGTGTGCGGCCTATGCACCTCCACGACGGGTAACAGGCGTAAGTTAGTAAGTAAGGGAAAACCCCTATCACCATGGCAGGAAAAGGTTGACCACACTTTCCTTCTGTATACATAGGTCAGATCGGGAATATTTGATATCGATCACCTTTGCCAAACGCAGTAAGATTGATATTTTTTGTTTGTTAATTATTCTAAATTCATTACTTACATTTACTTCGTGTTCACTATCTAAAAGGTGTCTAGCAACTGCATTTGTAAAGACTTTACTCCCTTTCAGCCGCAGGTTACGAGGAATGTGTTCAGGAAACTTTGTAGAGGCTTTTCCCTCTGTCCTTCCCATATACCTGCCAACACAGGTATATGTAAAACCATAGATTCAATCGGAAGTGATGTGGGAAAGGTATTAATCTACCTTTGAATGGTGTAACAAACCCTTGGTGTTGTATAATTATAATAATGGTTGTAATTTTAGGTTGTAAGCAGTTGATAAGAAACCGTGAAATAGAATGATGAATTCATTTAATTCTACAAACCTTGTTGTTCTTCCTTGTTGAATAATTTTTATTGTATCCTGACAAAACTTATTTTACGTTTGAAGGTAAGCATTTTTTGCAATTTGACGACGTTATGGGCGATCCTTTAAGACCTCTCTTAGCTAAAATTTGTCGGATGCTGGAAATAGACGAGTGAGTACGTCAGTTAGGTAACTTAGTACAGGAGGTTCGGAGTTATTATCCTATATATGCGATAAGAAATTCTACATAGTTTTGTTAATACTTAGTTTTTATTTTATATTTCATTTATACACATAAATATTGGTACTAGGAAGCGCCAGATACATATGCGCCGCACAAATCAAATGAGATTTGTGTGAGGGCTGTGATACTGCTGAGGTGCCCAAACGGAAGCAGGTGGTTTTCTTAGGGGGCCAAACCCGGAACCCTTGATCTAAAGGTCTAATCCACAAGGCAGTGGAGCATCGTGAGGAGATGCCGTTCCATGGTAGCCGGTGACCAACGGTTGGTTCATACGCCATTTGTTCCTTCAGGATACTGGAGCCCATGTGCACCATTGGTTTGGAATCAGGGTTTGCCAACTCCCCTAGGTGGACTATCCGTGTCCACCAACCCGGTTGAAGCGCCGGACATTCGCTTTTCTTCCTCTCAATTTCGAAAACAACAGTAATGCCACGAGAAGGCAGTGAATAGGACTTCCCTGACAGAGGCTATATTACGCATGACCATGTTAGAGTATTTCGAGAGGGAGAGCGGACTCTCCCCACTCTCGACCATACCAGGGCATTTGAGGGCAACGTAGAGAATGACAGTATAGTTTTGTCACAAGTAAAATAACAGCAAATTACGTTTTCTAAACATATATTTGAATCGGAGTGATGATAGAACCATTAAGCATTTATAATCAAAGATGGATAGTGGCTAGCAGTGGAATCCAGGACACGCGTTTCGTCCTATTTTTGACTCATCAGCCGGGTGTACCTGCACATATGCTAGCGAGAGACTGATCAATTGCAGTCCTAAATAACAATGTGAACATACAAGTAAATAACACCAAGTGAACATTAAGCAGTTAGTTTATAGGAAGCTCGCCTAGACATGTTAATTACTAAGCCTCCACAGTTTATGACCGTTGTAGTACAAGCAAGGCTTGATAGGGTGCCTCGTCAATGGAGTTCAACAAATCTGCGTTCCAGATATAATTAATGAGGATACGTAACTAATGATTGATGCATTAATATTAGATTGATATGTTTAAGTCAGCGTAAAGTGTAAAAGCCAATCGACATCAAAACTCTTTAGTTCTGTTTCGAATAACAGGGTCCAGGTCATAGTATCTTATAAAGGAGTATCAAACAACATAATTTAGTAACAGAGGTCAAAAACAACCATCAAAAATATTGTGCTACAAATCGAGAATGTTATGACTTTATAAAAAATAGAACGTATGCTAATTCGTTATTGATTTTATGTCCGGCTTTTATCACGTGAATTGTCCGCCAATCGAAATACGACTTTTCTAATACTAACACTGTGACAAATCAATGACATTTTACCAGTTTGAGTAGTCTAGCGTCCTTATTGTTCCCTCGTCCGCTTAGCCCTTCCAATTGAGTCCAGATCGTCAACTGCAGCTTCTGCCATACGAATCTATGCGAATCATTTATTTCAATCATACTCTGTTTATATACCAGACAGACAGACCGCATCACACCATAAAATAAAAAATAATATTTGTATAAGATCAAGCCGAATGTGGCTGTGAATATGGGATTCAGTAATCAATAAACTGAACATAATTTGGGAACAGTAAATCGTACAGTAATAATTCATAGGTCAAAATTACGCTTATAATAAGATGAATATAGATATACACAATCTAGTTACTCAATAGTTAGACAAAAATATATACAGAATAATCGTCTATTAATAGGTCCTGGGAGTTACCCTTACTTATGTCCTCACCAGGATATAACAGAGAAGAAATAGTCCATGATTCCACATGGGGCCAAACATTCCATAAGTGGTTTATCACACTCCACTTCATTTGCCAATCCACATATGTGTGTATGTGGATACATATGTTAGGAGGAATAATCGAACAATGCGATCAAGGATGATGGGACATTTTTCTAGATCGCTTCTTGATCAGTTAGCGTTGAATCCCCTAATAAACACGGGGCAGTAAACCATGTTCTTCGATACTGTTCTATCCTGAAGAGAATTGTGAATGGTAACTTTTGAGGACTATTTGTGGACCAATGTAATATGTCTATTTCCTATTGTATAATTGTTACGTAACTAAAGTATTCATATTCGTGTTCCTCTTATCATTAGCATTATTTTGACCTTTGAACTATTATTATACAATTCTTGAGTTATCATCAGTTTATTGATTACTATTCACAGCCACATTTGGCTAAATATTGTACAAATATATTTTCTATTTTATGGTACGGTGTGGTCTGTTTGGTTGGTATATAAACCCAGTATGTTTGTGAATAATGATTTACACCACAGAGGCAGTTATTGGTGTTTTGAACTAGGCACATCGCAGGACCCGTTAGCACTGTAGACTGCTCGTACGGTTTCGTGTGTCACTGTTCCAATCGATAATTCGCTGCTCCCTGATTGTCGGTCTCATCAAGTCACACATTAACTAGGCATCCAGTCGGCCACAAGATTTAACAGATACCAAAACAATTAAAATAAGTCTTTAATCCATTTTAAGGTCCATGTTAGTGTGACGATTCTTTACTCTTCATGTATTTTTTTTCATTTTGTTTCCAATTATCGTTGTATATTTGTTGGACTTTTGTTTAATTGACTTTCGTTAGTTTTTGCAATGGCTTATTCCCTTGTTATGGTGTCATTAAAGACTGCTTTTCTTGAGGTCTTATTGTTAAATAGGACTCCGCCACGATGTTTACTTGTTCACAGTTAGCTGTTCAGTGAACCAAAATTTAACGTGTATTTCCTTGTTTTTGATTGGTGTATTCAATGTACTATTTTTTTTCAAGAATTAAGAATACTAGTAATGGTAATATCCATAAAACCTACTGCATCTACTAAGTTTTGAGTCGATTATTTCCACTTGTCGTTAAGTAGAAGTTATGGTTCATAGTCTGGTTCACAAACTTCTGTGTTTATATTGAGTTCTGTTTCATTTTATTTGAGAAGTGAAAGCAAAAATTGTATCTCATGTCACAATAATAATAGCTGTACAAAAGGTAATGATTGTTCTTAATTATTAAACAGTATATTCTCAACGTTCAACGAATATATGAATAAAAGCCTCGGTTGCGCATATGCTCCTGGAGTTCCGGAACGCCGGAAAACTACTCGTCAACAGAGATTACCGTGGTTACTACCTGATGTGGTCCACATGGCTGCATGTTCTACACGTGCTGAGGCGTGGGATAGTGTGGTTGCAATCCATAGCGGGAAACGGCAAGTAACGAGCTGGAATTTCGCGAAAGCTACCCGAGGTCAACATTGGTTTGATCCACTAAAATTTCATGGATGCGATGATGAAGCAAATTGGTTGTACAAGAAAACAGTTGCTACGGTAAGTACTTCCTCTGTTCCAGTTCTAGCAACGTTTTGGTTACTTTTGCTTCTTTACATAACTAGTAAGCGTGTGAAGAGGTTACGAAAAGCGAAGACGCTGTTCGGTCTTTGGTAATGTGTGTTCTATAAGGTAATTTTTTTCTATTGCTATTTTAAAGTCCTAAATTTTACTTTGGAACGGGCAAAAGTTGTACGTCGGTATGTTATATTTCATTCCAGTGATTAATATTCGTACAATGTTTAAAGCTAACCGAAAACCAATTCATAGATCCCTTAATTTGGTCAAAACTAATCCATCACCTTTTCCTATAATCTGCTATACCACATATATGTTGTCGGTGAATATTACTTCAATGTTCATACTGTAGAAATAATGTGCTTTCAATGGATAATAGAGTTAGTGATCGTTTGTGTATTCATGTGTTTGAAAGAACCACTTTGTCGACTTGTTGAATAAACTATCCAGTTAGATTTTAGTCTATTTCCTTGCGTACGTCTCACTTGAAAGACCTCTCGTTGTTCAAGTTAAATACTGCCATCAAGTGAAAGTGTGTATCAACTACTCCTTTTTTATTTGCGTTAATAATTTTGATCCATTTACTCTAAACGATTAGAAAAGTAGAGAATCTCCCGATGAAGAGTATTACAGTATTTTTATCTTCTTTTCAGTGTGCATTCTTGACAAATTGTGGTAACTATGCTCTCATTGGTTATTCGAATGGAGATGTCTTCAAGTTTAATATGCAGTCTGGTTTGGAGCGTGGTTCATATGGTTCACCTACCGGTTTGTTAATTATCTTGATATTTTACTTCATACTAATCACTTTTGAAGAATGCTTACGTTGTTGTGTCTCAATAATGCTCTCTGAAATTCTTCATAATTCTGTAGTTTTGAGCTAATAACCCTCCTTCATTAGGAATCAAGAAATCTTAAACAGTTATCCCATTCTTATTTGTTTAAGTATATTTCGCTATCAAATGTTTTCTCACTGTTCAATTGGCCAATGTAATGTTTCAGGTTTCCTATTTTCTAATTCGAATTCAAATACAGAATGAAATAAAATGCAGTCTAACATGTAATTATAAGGAGTTTATGTTGTTTCTAGTAGCATAAAGAAAACACTTAAATACTAAAATGAATAGGAAGAAATATGTCTATCAAAATATTGTTCTTAATTCCCAACAAGCCTAAACATTCAGCATAGCTCACTCTGTTTTCAACAGTTACTAATCAAACTGTTCAGGTAGCTTTTTACGTGTCAGCAATCTAAAGATTTGTACCATTTCAATATCTCAATGTAGACTAGCAGTTTACCTCAACAAAAAGTAGTGGGGAGGGAGATATTTTTTTGTGCGTACAATTATAATTTATGGTAATTCTTCCCTTTTTAGATTTAAATTGTTTATTTTGTACTTTATTTTTTCATCACTACTACTAGCTCATTTCTGCTCTATTGTTGGATTAGCTGTCAATAATGTAAACCGGGTTACTATAACTGTTGGTGAGAGTGAAATTCGTTTCTGGTCTTTTCACGAGCACAAGTTACGTGGACAACTTGACTTACCATCAACCTCTTTGTTAGTCAGATTTCATGCTGATAGGTAACCAATATTCATATAACAAATGTTTTCATGGTTTATTAGTAGCTTGGTTAATATTTCCATCTAAGTTCGTGTGAAGTATGAGTTCTCAGGCTTTTCAAAGTAAACTCACCAGGTTAACTTATTTTATCATACGCTTTCATCGATAGTGATTAGCAGTGGAACCCTGGATGTGAGTTTCTTCTCATCTGGGACTCAGTCAAATGTACTTGTTTCCCTGAGTTGATATCCACTCTGGCACTCGAACCCAGTACCGTTTGTTTTGAATGCTATCGCATTATGTGCCGAAATACTGAGTCCAGATAGCCACTATCTTGTATGAGGGAGTGAGTTTTAATTTATTTGTATTGATTGCTTGAATCTTCACATTAATGTTTAGGACTGTAATTGACTGATGTTAACATCACCTCTGGAATGCAGGTACATTCAGCTGACAATTAGGAAGAAGCGCGCATCCTTGATTCCACTGCTAACCACCATCCAGTTCTCATTATAATGCTTGTGACTTAATAGCAACATCGAGGCAATCCTCACAAGACGCACGCACGCCGAAGATTAAACCAATGCAAATGAACTCACATCTCTCCATGAAATGTAAATTATTCGGTTTTCTCATGATCTTATGATCTTGTTTGAGCTTAAGGCGTAAGCTTAAATATGGTGGATTTCTGACTAGTTAAGTAAATACATACTAAACCGCACATTGTGCTCCTCCAGCATCAGTAATTAAATGTGGCCTATTATTCAACAACAACACAGAGCACTTTGTATATGTGTTGTTCTGAATCCTTCCGTGATATGCATTAATGAAATTCTATCTACAAATCTAAGAAAGTCGAAGTGTCAATTGACTGCCAAAGTATTGTTTAAACATTTATTTCATAAAACAGCTGTTTTCATCTACAGATATTCTTCACTTATGATAAAAGCCTACTTTTCAACAATTCGCATTGGAGAGAGATTGACTAAAGCTGACTGTGTTGTATTTCCTGACCATTACAATATTTCATGCATACATTGAACACTACTGTCGTAGTATTTACTGATCAATTATGTCTTCAACAAAGCATCTAATTGTGATTTCGAGGAAAATCTGATCAACCACTCAACAAACGAATTAAAGGCGACCAGTCTTCGACGGCTACGCCAAAACTGTAAAGCCATCTATGAAAAACATCCCACAGTGGTCCATCTTAGAAAACTTAACATTACGATGTGAATTCTGTAAATAAAATTTGATTTCCTAACAACATGTTCTCACATTGACTTAAAATACCCAGAAAACAACCCTGTTTATTGAATACTCTAATATAATTCAAAGTCTTCTGAACACCTTGAATAACGATGCAAGTATGTTTAAGATGCATTCTTTCCTTCTTAATCCAAAGTGTTGTTTCAGAACTGGTTTGGATCACTGTCTAGACTAAGCATAGAGGCAAATAGGCTGAGAGTGTTGTCTGCTTCAAAGTTCCATCATCCCTGGTGGGTTGACATCTGGTTAAATCTAACCACGGATCTAGAAATCTGTTGCCTTCTTCCAACTTGCGGCACAGGTAAGATGTTCATTTGCGTGTTAAAGAGCGAGTACATTTCAGAGTAGTCCACTGTGTGTCTATGAAACATGGGGTATGGAAATAGAAGACATTCGTAGAGTGCAGGGTTTTGGTTACAGGTGTTTTCGAGTTATTGCTGTTGTATCATGAAATGACCGAGTAAGTAATGCTGACGTTGCGCATAGAATGTCAGACAAATATGGTAAGTCAGTTGGTGAGGTTGTAAATCCGCATTTGCTACCTATCTCGCCTCGTGGTGTTGGCTTCAATATGAATTAGTGTGATGTGGGAGGGTTTTATGAACGAATGAGGTTTGTTATCAGAACGAATGTGTAGAATACTGGTCGATAGATAAACGCAATAATGTCATTTGGCTTATTGATGGCTGCCCACGAAACCGCTTCATTTCGTCGAACTTACTTACGCCTGTTACTCCCTCTGAGCATAGGCCGCCGACCAGCTTTCTCCAACCCACTCTGTCCTGGGCCTTCTTTTCTAGTTCTATCCAGTTCTTGTTCATTCTTCTCATGTCTGTCTCTATTTCTCGGCGTAATGTGTTCTTTGGTCTTCCTCTTCTCCTTTGACCTTCAGGATTCCATGTGAGGGCTTGTCTTGTGACACAATTAGGTGATTTCCTCAAGGTGTGCCCAATCCACTTCCAGCGCTTCTTCCTGATTTCTCCCACCATAGACATCTGGTTTGTTGTCTCCCACAGTAACTTGTTGCTGATAGTGTCTGGCCAACGGATCCGAAGTATCTTGCGTAGACAGCTGTTAATAAACACTTGTGTCTTCTGGATAATGGCTTTCGTAGTTCTCCACGTCTCCGCCCCATACAGAAGAAATGTCTTGACATTTGTATTGAAAATTCTAACCTTGGTGTTGGTTGACAATTGTTTTGAGCTCCAGATGTTTTTCAGTTGTAAGTATGCTGCTCTTGCTTTTCCGATCCTCGCCCTCACATCTGCATCTGATCCACCGTGTTCATCAATGATGCTGCCCAGATATGCAAAGGTTTCCACATCCTCCAAAGCTTCTCCGTCAAGTGTAATTTCATTGGTGCATATTGTATTGTATCGGAGAGTCTTGCTTTTCTCTTTGTTTATATTGAGACCTACTGTTGCTGAGGCCGCTGCTACACTGGTCATTTTCTCCTGCATTTGCTGTTGCGTTTGTGATAGGAGAGCCAGATCATCTGCGAAGTCTAAATCGTCAAGCTTCCTCCTGCCTCTCCACTGTATCCCGTACATTCCTCCAGATGTTGACGTCTTCATAATCCAGTCGATCACCAAGAGAAAGAGAAAGGGTGAGAGTAAGCAACCTTGTCTAACACCGGTCTTTACTTCAAACGAGTCGGTGAGTTGTCCTCCGTGGACAATTTGGCAGTTTAGTCCATCATAGGAGTTCCGTATGATATTGACTATCTTCTCAGGCACGCCGTAGTGTCGAAGAAGCCTCCATAGTGTCGTCCTGTCCACACTATCAAATGCCTTCTCGTAGTCGATGAAGTTGATGTAGAGTGATGAATTCCATTCGATTGATCGTTCCACAATGATACGTAGAGTTACGATTTGATCTGTGCACGATCTATCCTTACGGAATCCAGCTTGTTGATCTCGAAGTTGGGCGTCCACTGAATCTTTCATCCTGTTTAACAATACTCTGTTGAAGACTTTCTCTGGTATTGAAAGCAGAGTGATGCCCCTGTAGTTGTCGCACTTGCTCAGATCGGCTTTCTTTGGTATCTTGATCAGAAGTCCTTCTTTCCAGTCTGTTGGTACATGTTCTTCGTCCCAAATCTTACCGAAGAGGATGTGGATTATCTTGGCAGTTGCTGCTACGTTTGCCTTCAGTGCCTCTGCCGGGATGTTGTCTGGTCCCGCTGCTTTGCCGCTCTTGATTTGTCTAATGGCCATGCTGATCTCTTCAATTGTTGGTGGGCCAACATCGATTGAGAGGTCCGTGGATGCTGCTTCGATGTTGGGTGGGTTCAGTGGAGTTGGTCGATTCAAGAGTTCCTTGAAGTGTTCTACCCACCTGTTTCGTTGTTCTTCAATGTCGGTGATTACTTTGCCTTCCTTGCATTTCACTGGTCTTTCTGGCTTACGGTAATTTCCAGCAAGTTTCTTTGTCGTATCATACAGTTGTCTCATATTTCCCTCTCTTGCAGCCTTTTCCTCTGTCATTGCTAAATCTTCCACATATTTACGCTGGTCGGTTCTGATGCTCCTCTTCACTTGCTTGTTTGCCTCTGTGTATTCGGCTTGTGCCTTGGCTTTTTCCGCTCTGGTTCGGCTGGTATTGATTGCTGCCTTCCTGTTCCTCCTTTCTTCAATTTTATCCAGTGTACCAACAGTGATCTATTCCTTGTGATGGTGGTTCTTTTCACCCAGAACCTCCTGACATGTTGAAACGAGTGCCTCCTTGATACCTTTCCAGTTCTCTCCATTGAGTAGATGATGAAAGGCCTGGAACCTGTTGCTGAGGGCTATGTTGAATTTATTGAGTTTGTCAGCATCTCGAAGAAAGACCCTATTAAATCTTTGTGATGTTGTCCGCGCCATTGTCCAGTGCTTCTTGAGTTTTAGTTTCATCTTGGCGACCAGCAAATGATGATCGGATGCTATATCAGCTCCTCTTCTGGTTCTCACCTCCTCCATCGTCCTCCTGAACTTTTTGTTGATGCAGATATGGTCGATTTGATTCTGTGTAGTGTGATCCGGTGAAATCCAAGTGGCTTTGTGTATGTTTTTGTGTGGGAATATGGTGCCACCTATGACCAGTTTATTGAAGGCACATAGGTTTGCAAATCTCTCACCATTTTCGTTCCTTTCTCCCAGTCCATGTTGTCCCATGACGTCTTCGTATCCAGTGTTGTCCTTTCCAACCTTGGCATTGAAATCTCCCATCGGAATGGTCAGATCCTTGGTTGTGCATTTCTCGAAGATCTACTGCAACCTGTCGTAGAATTGGTCTTTAGCTTCTTCATCGTAGTCATTGGGAGGCGCATAGCATTGGATGACGTTCATTGTAATGCCCTCTCTCTTTGTTCTGAAGGAGGCTTTGATGATCCTTGGTCCATGAGATTCCCATTCAATAAGTACATTTTGTGCTTTTCTGGACAGCATCAATGCAACTCCTTGTGTATGTGGGGCATTTTCTTCTTCATGACCGGAGTATAACAGAAGTTCTCCTGAAGACAATCGTTGTTGTCCAACCTGCGTCCAATGTGTTTCGCTGATTCCAAGCACCTCCAGGTTGTATTTTCTCATTTCTGCAGCAATTTGGAAAACTCTTCCGGTCCCTCACATTGTTCGGACATTCCATGTACCTATAAAAATTGTCGCTCTGGTTGTAAGAAGGTGCATCGGCCTCATGACTTCCGAAGGAACTCGGCTTTCATCATGAGACGTCACAATTATTCCTTCTACTCCCAGGGCAGAGTTTGAAAGGTTTGAATGATTTTTTCTGGTTTGCGTTTTTTTAGCGAGTTGATTTTCTACGGGATGGGGTCGCTAACCCCATGCCCAACCCACCTCCTTTACCCGGGCTTGGGACCGGCAGTAACCCCCAGAGGAGCTACAGGCGGAGTTTCATTTCGTCGAACGGAACCAACAATTCAAGACACTCCTCTGTCATTGACAAGGATAACAACTTCGTACTCTCACCTGTCTGATGACCGCATGATTCGATCCACAAAGTGCTTTTGTACTGTAACTGAGAATTCCACTATTTTTCCTTGGCTTATTCAACGTGTGGCTTGTGTGGGCTGATCTGCCTCTCTTGTATTATGGACGTAGCTAAATATCGTGTAACCACAATTAAAGGCTCGAATTTTGGAGAATTCCAAAGAATTTCTGATTGTTGTGCTTTGACAGAATTTGAATTGGCAATGCTTTTGTTATATGGTTGTTTACAACCATTCTTCTGTGACATGTACTGAGGTAAATATCTATGATACATTGTTCTTCAACTGCATTCGATTCTGAAATAATAATGTGATACAACTGTTTTCACATGTCGACTCGTTTCTACATGTTCATTCTTTGATTGCACCAACCGAATGCATGAAGATTCACACTTATTCAATCTAATCGATTCCTGTCCGCCGTAAGTGTTATAAAAAGGAATTCGATGGATGAACGAGGTTTTGGATTGTAATAATTGAATATAGAAAGGACATTCTTCGAAGTACTTTATAACCTTTTACTTTTGCAGCGGACAACATTTTACACAACAACGAATCAGAATTCATCGGCGAACGTTCGTATGTATCACAGAATCGAGAACAATCTACCACCTAATATTACCGAGACTGACTACTTGTAAAGAAACGGTATCCAATAAAAATTCCAGTGTCTAAGATTGGATCTCTTGCGTTCGTCCGAGAGTACAGACAAGCATGATACGTGGTTAGAAAGGTTGTTGACCATATCAGGTAATATGTAGGGTGGCAGTTGAAAGGAACAAGCACACACGGCATTGTTAATCAATTGCTAGGACACATAGCGCTAAGTCGTGCGATATCAATGTGCTGTCTACCACCGGAGATATTGGTAGATACTTCAAGCGTACAATTACCTTCGAATAAAGCAATAAAAGGTAAAGCCAAGATGGCACCGCTAAATCAACTGAACCTATATTCTAGACTGTCAGGTTAATGATGATGGCGGATGATTGAATTCAAATTGAACCGAATTGAAAAGTATTTCATTAAAATAGGAAGCTTTGTGGATTTCAGATCCTCAACACAATATTTCAGAAAGGAACGAAATGTAAGATTGAGTATCGAAATAATGTGATTTTTGCTCAGTATATCATCCAGTTGTATTGAGTAATGCAGTATGACTTCTCGTTCGTTCATAAAGCGTTCCACGAAATAGGTTAGAAGAAAACTAGGGGCTGCCAAATCAAACGTAGCATCAGTCTATAAAATCATTTTCTCTTAAACCGTGTTGATAATTGTAGGCAACCCAGTTGGGGTCTATGCGGTAACCACGACCAATGGTTGAAGATACTATGTGACATGGCTCAGAACTACTCTTAAAGGTGTAGTTCCATTTGTTCTTCATTATGAGCTCCAACATTACTTCCTTTCATTAATCGAATCAATATTTTTCACACTATATTCTGTATGTTTTGTCTTCTTCCATCACTGATATTTATTTGCTATAGATTGTGTCAACTTCGTCTTTCCATGCTGATGCAGTTTGTGTTAATTACGAATAACCCATTTTACTTCAGCATTACCCACTCGGTTGTTCCATCGCACACGAGCATGTCTTCGTAGTCATCCTTGATCAAATGCTAGTAACGTGCACACGTCCGTCCCCTTTGAAGTACATATTTCTCAGCTTAGAAGTTAAGCAATATATGCTGTTGTTCAATGCACTCGCTGTTTGATAGGCAAATGGACACCTATTCTATACCAGTGACCCAATGTTATTAAAAGGCGAATGATGTTTTTGTTACTGCTTCGGAATTTCGTTAGTCAAAAGTTGATCAGAGTAAGATTATTGAAACGGGTGAACTGCTTACCACCCTTGATGCATGCAGAAAGCGATCAGAAATTCTCTTCATTTAGCCTAATCTGCTTACTCAAAGGTGAGTGGAGTTAAAATTCATCATTCAAAAAAACCCTGCATCGCCATTTCCTACCTATTCACCCAAAATGATCTGATTCACTCTTAAATTCATAGACTACAGAGTCATAGACAATTATTCCTACTCTTCAATAACGAATTAACCTGTTTTGTGTCTGTACCCGTAAACTTTCCCTTTTTTATATCTGATATGCGGCCGTATAGAATAGAGGCATTTCAAGTAAGATTTTTAAAAGTTTCAGACTTTTCTATTAAATTTATCTGTTCTGTTTATAGTGATGTTCTAGCGGTTGCTTTGTCGAATGCAATTATCATTTTGGTTGACATTATACATCGAAAGGTTATTCGAACGTTCATCAATTCTGAAGTCCAACTTTGTGTTGATATGGTAAACGAGAGTTACTTCATTTTCATTCTGTATGATATTTCTACATCGTAAATCTAAACAGAGATACTTGTCAAAATACAGTAATCACCACAATTAATCAGCTAGTGTTCTTAATCCATCTCTTTCTATTGTATTTGTTAATTCCTTATTAAAGCTTCAACCGCACGGTTGAGTGACGCGTCAACTCCGAGAAACCAAAACGCGAGATCATTTATAACTACGCTTTTACTACGAAAATTATATGAAACAAATGGCAAACCTCAAGTCATGAGGTGACTACGATGAGTACCGAGTTTGTGTAAAATCAGATGGAAGTGCCTCCTAGTAATAAATTCATCGAGCTATTTATAACAATCTAGGATAAGGTATATGACAGATCATAGTTGTGACGAAGTCGCCATGGCAAAATAAGAAAGAATACCAGAATATGGAAATTCTTACAATTAGACAAACATTCATCAAATATGCTAGAATTGAAAATATGTATTGCAAGCATCAAGAGGATGCGATCATAATAAGTACATTGAGTCCCGTTAGCTTATATAAATACTTACGAATATTATATAACATATATACGTTACATCACTTGCTCAAAAGTTGTGAGACATGAAACGGGTTACTGAATATAAATAGATGGTATAGATTAAAACACTAAAGGGGAGTTGAATAAGGAGACAATGAGGACAAAGAATGTAGGCGAGCTTAACGATTTTGAGGCATTCAAGTTCTAATCGCTGTATTAAAATTAGTATGACGCGAACTAAGAGGTGATAAATAGTGATGTACTGAATCAATAAGAATGAGGAGAATACTTCCAATAATTCAGAACATAATTGACTTAATTATCAACTGACAAGGAAGGTAGAAAAACAAGGATTTCTGATCACGTTTATGTGTGTATATCCACTGATTGGTCGAACGACAATGGGCATAACACACAAACTGACCTTTCATTAACAAATCACGGTTTGATTAGTCTGGCCACATCAGAAACATTCTGTCCTCAAAACTATGTGGTTCGGTGTATCAACCCAATCTCAGTAACTAATTCTCTCAAGATGGATAAAATGGCGTGAACAACGTAAGATGTGCTTTAATCCGTGAAATTTAGTGTTTTGAGTTGTTATTGGTATTTATAAGCATTAAAAACCTACAAAGTTACCTACAACGTATATTCATCCTGTGATCTGACTGAATTGTGTTCATAAATGAAGGATAGCTTTGTTTACTATCTGAATAAGTTTTAATAGAGGAAAAACTATATTTATTCTTGGTAAGCACTGTCAAGTGGTTTCAATTTTTTTGGTTATAAGACACCAGTTACTTCCGTATTTTACTACCAACACATGTAATATTTTTGGTATACGCTTTATTTGATTCGTTCCCAGTGTCGCTTAATAGTACTTCTGCTATTCAATTGTAGGACATTTCATTTGATGGCCGATGGTTAGTTTCTGCACATCATGGGGATCTCTTGGTAAAAACTTGGGATATAGTAGATAATAAGTAAGTAAAAATCATATATCTTTTTTATTGAGATCATGAATCGATTGATGTTAGACCGCCACTGAAGACCTGGGTGCACTGGACGGCAGTTTCGTCCTACCATGGTATTCCTCAGCAGTGCACACCCACGATCCTGCTCGCATGGTTCGAACCCAGGACATTCGGTCTCGGGCGCGATTTTTTAACATCCAGACCACTGAGTTGGCATCCAACGGTGTTAATGTCTAACCTCAATCAATCAACGAAATTGCGCGACCATCTTCCATCATACTGAGGTGGATATCCGTCTCTACCTGACATGGATTAGATCCACTGGTCACGGACTCTCATTAGAACTCCGAGAATTCTCTCACGAATCTAGTCACTAGTGAACACATGTTAATTATCAGTATGGGGTTGTGGAGATAATAAGTTAATGCAGAGTTAACTATAATATGGACCTAAAGTCAGTGGGTACAAAAACTTGACTAGAATAGTGACATGATGTATTGTTATTGTAAACGTGTATGCTCGTACTTTTTAATATTGCTAAAGTTTCATCTATAGCCATATTATTCAGCGTCATCAGCAACCGGTTTCTCACATACTCCAACGACTAAACTTTTAGTCTCTTCTACAACTCAAACTGTTTTGATTTGTTGACTAACTAATGGGAAGACCCAGAAAATCCCTCTAAGAAAGCCCATAGGGGCCCTAAAAAGACTGGGAAACATTTTATCTAATCAGTATTGAAATATCTCAGAAATATCTACAAAATGAGTAGTCACATGTCACACTTTTGATTGTATGATTAACTATCCTGTTAATATGTTAATATGAACCTTCCAAAAGCCCAAAGCCATCTGGAATGCTATGAATACCTTGGAGTAAAAAGCTTCTTCCATATTTTGCGCCTTTTCTCTCATGTTCAAGTCGCTATGAAAATTTAGCATGGGGGTTACTAGAAGTGATTCGGAAACTGATTCAAGCGTTCGGTCAGAAGATTTATCAATGGCAACAAAGAAATCTACAATGAACATTTCTTTTGAACGACTGGAAGCCTAATTAGTGCGTCAAGAGAAGCAGTTTAAAGAGTTTCAAATCAGAATCATGGAAGCCCTTGTGCAGAAAATGTGCCTTTATAAGCAAAACCCTGTTTCTTGTGAACTGCAAGTAACACATGCCGATTCTGTCAATAATGCAATCCATGAATTTAATTTTGATGGTGCAGCAGGTGTTATTTTTAACTGTTGGTTCATGAAATATAAAGATCTGTTTTATGTTGATCTCTGCAGACTGGATGACGTCTCAAAAGTGTGAATACTTTTAAGACAACTTGGGACGACGGAACTTGAACTCTACAGTAACATTATTCTTCCATAGAACCCAAGGGACTTTAGTTTTGATGAAATAATTAAAATCCTGTCCTAAATCAGTGGAGAAGAGTCATCTCTATTTAATATACATTACCAATGCTTGAAGATAACTAAATGACTGGATGAAAAATGCAGGAATTGTGAACCGAGAGTGAGAGAGGTTCGAGTTGTCTTCCAGGACAAAAAACCAGTTTAAATGCCTTGTATTTGTCTGTGGCCTACGCGCACTCGAGGATGCTGATATCCGAACAAGAATCGTAAGCAAACTTGAATATTGTCCCAGCATGACCTTACAGAAAATAACTAGCAAATACCAAAGATTAGAGGGGCTCGATAGAAGACTGTCGCTCATTCTGGAGCACATGTGTAGATTCAGACCATGCTCTAGTGCGAGCACGTATCTGCCTGCGTCTTACTGGTCGTAGGAAAGACACTGCAGGGAAACCTCTAAGGGTTCTACTTAATAATAGGCAAACTAAGAATATATTTCAGGAACAACTAGAAAAACAGTTAGGCAGCCATGTAAGTTATGCCCACACCGAGGCAGTCTGGAATGACATCCGAAAAGCTGTGGAAACAGCTGTGATATCCGCTAGTAAGGTAAACCATAAGGTTAGGGAGAAACAATGGATCTCAGCAGCATCTACCGCACTGATAGATGCTCGAAAACTCATCCCACCTGGCTCTGAACATAACGAAGAGCGGAGTCAACTTAAGCACAGGCTAATAAGAAGCCTACGTAATGATCGTGAACAGTGGTGGGTAGCGAAAGCAAGAGAGATGGAAAAGGCAGCGGCAATAGGTAACAGCAGACAACTGTTCAGATCTGTTAAAGAAACCGGTGTTAGGAACCCAAGTATCAGCGAAACTATCTCAGATAAAGATGGGCATATCATTCATTCTCAATCCAGGAGATTGGATCGATGGGCAGAACACTTTAGGGATCACTTCAACTGGCCTTCAGCCACACTTCAGTTACCCACGATCCCCAGTCGTCCTGAATGGCAAATTGATGTAAGTCCTCCAACCCTGTGCGAGGTTGACTGGTCCCAATCACTGATTGTGCCAGTCTATAAGGAAGGACAAAAGTCCTCTTGTGACAATCACAGAGGAATCAGTTTGACGAATATAGTGTCTAAAATATTAGCTTCAATAATACTTCGACGCCTAACCAAAGCTTGTGAAGAGCAGACCAGAGAAAACCAGGCTGGTTTTCCACCTGGACGTGGTTGTATAGACCAGATATTCACCCTACGTCAGGTCCTAGAACATAGGCACTCATTTAGACGTCCCACAATCGTAGTATTTCTTGACCTTAAGGCGGCATTTGACTCCGTTGATCGTGAGGTTCTATAGCAGTGTTTGTCACTGAAAGGAGTACCAAAGAAGTACATTAACCTCATAAAGGCTCTCTACTCGAACACAACTGGTCGAGTTAGAGCCTATGGCGAACTGTCATCAGAATTGATTACCTCAAGTGGTGTTCGTCAGGGCTGTCCGCTCTCTCCATTCTTCTTTAACTTTATCATCGACATGCTTTTAGAGATAACACTTTCATCATCTCAATCTCCAGGAGTTGAACTTTTACCGGGAGACTCACTTATTGACTTAGAATATGCCGATGACATGGTTTTATTTGGTGAAGACGCTGACAAAATGCAGTCTTCTGACCACTATAAGCAACTATGCAGGCATATTCGGGATGGGATTTTCCCCCCTCGAAGTGAAAAATGTTACTTCAGGATTGGGTTGCATCGGCATCTGAACTAATGATAGGGAGTGAAGTTGTTCAGCGTGTTGACCACTTCACTTATCTTGGGAGTCTCATCAGTTCTTGTGGTCTGGTATGTGACGAAATCTCAGCACGGATACAGAAGGCTCGTCTAGCTTTCGCCAACATGCGTCATTTATGGCGTACGCGAGATATCCGTCTAGCAACAAAAGGACGGGTTGACTGTGCAGCAGTTCGTTCTGTCATACTTTATGGCAGTGAAACATGACCGATAAGAGTAGAGGATATTCGTAGGCTACTAGTGTTCGATCATAGGTGTCTTCGAAGCGTTGCTCGTATATCCTGGGACCACCGGGTAAGCAATGCAGATGTTAAGAAACGAGTACTAGGTAGGGATGGCAAATCGATTGATGAAGTAGTGAAACTCCATCAGTTGAGATGTCTGGGACACGTGTATCCTATACCCAACCACCGACTGCTCCGACGTGCAATGTTTTATGGTGTAGAAGTAGGTTGGAAGAAAGCTAGGGGCGGCCAGACCTAAACGTGGCACAAAACCGTGAAGTCACTGAGAAGTGAACTGAGCCATGCTTGTAGGTGTAGACTACCTGGTTGGGATCCGCGATATGATGGCAATCGATGGTTAGAGACCTTGAATGACATGGCTCAAAATCGTTTGCAATGGTGATGGTGCATCCACTCTTTGTGTTCTACCAAATTCTAATCTGAATTCTTCGTGCTTCTATTATTTTCGCTTTTCAAATTTATTTCACTGGATTATACTCCTTAAAATAACATCTTCAAACCTTAATCTTTCCGATTACTGCTTATACTCTTACTACTTCTACCACTATGGGATTTGAATCGACAACTGCATCTCTGTGTTAATATGGTATGGCAACTCGAACTGATGTACGTACGTACAAAGTTCTGTGTTGTAACTGACTGACTGACTGGTTATTATTGTTCGTGCATTTTCATACCAATCGCGTTTCGTTTCCGTTCTTTCCTTATCGATCTTCTAGTAAAATACATTCTCTGCCTGATCATCGTCTTATACTACTTATGTGTATGTGAGCAACCCACACCACAATAGTACTAATAACAAATTAGACCATAATTCCACACCCCTACCTGAAGAACTTTTCGCTCAGCTGAATGAAGGCAAGTTCTTTGCAAAACTGGATTTGTCGGAGTCATATTTACAAATTCCTGTTGTTGATGAGTGCAAGGATCTGCTCTCCATAAACACATATAAGGGCCTATTCCGATATAATTGACTACCTTTCGGAGTCAAAACGGTCCCATCCATATTTCAATACTATGCTACAGGATGTTCTAAGTGCTGCAGCTTATCTGGATGACCTAATAATCACGAAAGTGGATAGAATAGACTTAGAAAAGAAGCTCGATCAGGTGCTGTCGTGTATAGCAAAATATGGGCTCCGGACCCGTACAGAAAAATGTAACTTTTGCAATGGCGCACAATTCACTTCATGATCATTCAAGCACTCCCGCAACATTAATGGAATTGTACATATATGCTCTCCACCCTATTACCCTCAATCAAATGGACAGGCAGAGCGCTTTATTGACATATTTATAAGAACATTACCGAAAGACGGAGATGAGGGGTCTAGTCAGGTAATCACAAAATTCCTAACAACTTAGAACTACACTCACCCCTTTCGTCTCATATGGAAAGTCCTCTGCTGAAGCTATGTACGGAAGAACTATTTGAACTATATTGGACAACATGTTGCCATCTAAATCAGTGGATGAGTGCAGACAAAATCAGAATATTCAAAGTTTTAATGTAGTTGGTAAAGTGTTTGTCAACATTTTGGCTATTATCATGTGCTCTAGTGGTCATAACAATACAAACAAATATGCAAATTGTTACTGTCCACATGACGATGTCTGTTAAGCTAGTTAATACAAAAAGGTCTTAACCGAAATTAACCATAATCGAAATTGGTTGTTGAACAGTTGCTATAATAACTCCCCCCTGCAAACAAAGATATATGAAAAAATGTTTTTGCATAAAGTACGGTAAACTGAATAGAGTAATTACAATCGTTTGAAGATATGGGCTTGTACAAAATTAGAAGAAAGCTAATGTGTGCTGTGTATTTGGTTTGTGCTCGTCCTTGAGGCTGTACAAAATAATAGTAAGAAATAGAAGGAATATAGTATCGCTTTGAAACAAAGTTACACATATAAGCGTAAGGGTACACAAGCTATGTCGAGTTTAATAGTGTCTAACATGAGCCTACATGTATACAATGAAGGGGAACAATTATAATTAATATTCAAAATAGCAGAGAATTTTCAATGGAAGATTGTAGCGACATAGCGTTGCGGCCAGATCTGGTCGTTATCGGGGTCTCTTCTTTTTGCTGCGTTAGCGTCGTTGATTCTTGAGACTCGTGTCTCGTTAGTATGATCGTCTTCGAGGGATTAGTACTTGTCGATTAAAACTCGCTATCAATGAAAGCTGGTTTCACTCGATCGATGCTGATTACATCTGTCTTTCCAGCTTTTTCTACCGTAACTGTCTTAAATATCCTCGTAATCACTTTAAGTGGACCATCATAATTAGGCTGCAGGGGTGGTTGTACATTGTCTTTTCTAATGAATACGTGAGTGCTATTATGTAGTTCCTGAGGTATGAATATCCGTCGTTGTTGTAGTCTGAGAAGTGTTATTTTTAGATCGTTCATGTGTTTGTTCAGGCATTGCAAGTAGTTGGCTATATCCGTCGGAACACTTTTACCCGAAGCGGAAAATTCCCCGTGTAAACATAGAGTACATATACCAAATCAGCTGGAAAATATCCCATATCCCGTTTAATTGTTGTTCTTAAACCCAATATGACTAAAGGAAACTTATTATCCCAATCGCTGTTGACAATGACAGGTGTAAGGGACACTTTCAACTGCCTATGCAGGCGTTCAATCATTCCGTTTGCCATTGGATGTTAGGATGTCATTGGAACACTTTCAATTCCGAAGAGTTCCGTAAACTGCTGGAAGATACGACTTTCAAATTGAGGTCCTCTATCAGTTGTGATAATCACTGGTATACCATAGCAAGAAATCCCATTCTCAATAAGGGATTTGTCTATAGACTCGGCTAAGGTGTCTTTTATTGGTACCGCTACATGCCATCTTGTAAATCTATTGATGCATGTAAAAATATAGTTGTATCCGTTCGAAACTGGCAATGATCTTACGATATCTATGTGTACATGCTCGAATCGGGTGTTTGGCTGAGAAAATGAACCCATTGGCGAGCTAGTAAACGATGTACTTCGACTTTTTGATAATTCATGAATGCGTGTCCAATTACGCACATCGCGACCCATGTTCGTCCATACGAAGCGCCCACTGGTTAGCCTCACATTGGCTTTTATACCCGGATGCGATAAGTTATCTATACTTTCAACTACCTTCTGTTGCAATGGTTTTGGAATGAATGAACGCGGTCGGTCTGTCGACATATCACATATTACTTTTGCTCTACCGAATTGAACATCTTCGAATACCAATGATATCGTGTCTATTTATTTTATTTATTTATATTTATTATTAGCTTTATTCAGTATTATATTTTGGGTACAATATAGAATTCTCAGCACAAAGTACTTCAACAAGTTTCCGTTTCTTACTTCTTCGTCCTTCCTGACGATAAATATTGAGTGATCGCCAGTTAGAAGTTAGCAGACCAGTCAATCGACATCTGGATAATGTACATTCTTCTCGCTGCATATTGCCAGCAACCACGATATCTCTGATTAGGCCTTCTGTGACCTTTACAGCGAAAGGTTTTACACTTTTCAGAAACGCACCTGAATAGGTTGTGCGATTATTAAGCATAATGATGTATTAAAACAAACGAAATTAGATAACTTGTTGAAATATCTAGATGGCAGGAACAGGTAGCCCAGATGTTTAAACAGGCCACCAATTTGATGCTTTGTCTTTTCTAATGAATACATGAGTGCTATTATTAAGTTCCTGAGGTATGAATACCCGTCATCATCAACAAACACTTCAATAAGTTTTGAGTGATTAGTATTTCTCCGTAAATGGTTAGCTGTTTGACTCGATTTATCAACTAACAAAAAAGACGAACAACTCCCATGTCAGAGGTAAAAACAATTAAACAAACATGCAAACAACAACCACATCTATGAACAACACGTAACCGAATTGTAGATTACCAGAACAAGCAGCTAATCAATTACGGAAATATGCTAATTACTCAGGACTGATTGAATTGTTTGTTGATGATGTTATCGATGAGACAATGGAAGCTTCACAATTAAACTAACTAGCTCAGAGAACAAAACGCCTTCAAAACCCTTATCCCAAGCTACATATGTTGACCACCATCTCGAAAAATTCAGTTGTTTATTCTAACTTTATGTTGGTTTTGTATCTAACTGCTTACTGTAACTACTTTACCATTTCTCAGACTGATAGACTGTTTTCGTGTAGAACTTCCTATCACCTCAATAGCTTTATCCAGGGCAAATGAATTCCTATGTACCACTCATGCAAACTGCCTTGGTATCTATCTTTGGGATAACCGTGCAACTTACAAACATTTACACCTCCAACCTTTACCTATTGATTTTGTTCCATCTGGAAATCAATCACCAGTATCATTACCAACTAGGTAAGTTGTTAATGTGTTATGCTTAGTAAGAAAATGGTTCCTTCAAATTTAATTTTAAATATGGTTCCAAGTGTAGCGACTAGTCGATTGCTATATCTCGTTTTTCAATCCAGAAATAAATGAATGTACAGGTCAATCATCTACGTACTCTTAGTTCTTCTAAATTAGGGTTACAAAGAGTACAAAGTTTCTGAAACACCTTTGCAAATTAAGTAAAATACTACTGTTAAATAAGTATGTAGGTGAACTCATAAGAAATACCGATATTTTGCTCTAACAATAATCCATTAAGTTACTGATCTAAGTGATGTTTGGAATTTTGTTGAACGTTCTTGGTAAAATGCCTAAATTTTGTGTTCGAAAATGTCTCAATGAGTTGTGGAATTCACTCAAATACCTAATCATGGTAAACTCTGTGGATCTAATAGGACAGATATTTAAAGACACATACACACATGACTTCATCTTGACTCCCTATATCTATAAAGGTTTCGTTTTGACCAAAGATTTCCGATTATGTTGACCAATAAATAACGTGCTAACAATTTGTAGTGACACAAATGGCTTTTAATACGCATGTATTTCGATTTCAGGGTATACAAAGATTGTTCATCAACAGTACTGTGCTTTTTTTTCGATGTAACTCTGTTACTGCCAGATTTTATCACAAAGTTCAGTTGACTCTTGACTTACTTGAGTAAGTAAGATACCAGTCTATCAACTAAAGGACGGATACAATGCGCTGCAGGTCTCTGTCCTATGCTATGACTGCGGAAGATGACGTTCAAGACAAAGGATGTTCGTAGGTTAACACTATTTGGTCATAGGTATCTTCGAACCATTGCTCGTGTATTTCGGGACCATCGAATTAGCAATACTGAAGTTAGACACACAGTACTAGGTAAGCATGGCAAGTTAGTTGACGAGGTGGTAAATCATTCTTAACTGGGACGGTTGGGACATGTGTCACGTATTCCTATCCACTGACTATCCGGACGTGCGACGATGACCAGTGCAATACGTTGGGAGCTAGGCGCAGCGAGGCTAAGACATGGTATCGATCCATGAAGACATTTACTATTAGACTAAGCCATGTGGGTAAGTGAAGACTACCTGGTCGGGTTCCTCGTGATTGTCGTAACCAACGCTTGGAGACTGGGTGGCATGGTTTAGAATCGTTTGCAACAGTGCGGGTATATTCACTCCTTGTCTTTGTCTAGATTCTAAGTTTCTAAATACCATATAATTTTTTTTTCACTTGAGTAGTTCATATTTTCTTTTTGAATCTGAATTCCGAGGTCTAATTTTTTCATTACAATTGGTGCTAATCTACCTGTATTTCTGTGGGATTCGCCCAGACAATTATATTTCTCTGTGTGCGTGAGGTGTGTTAATTTGAGGTGATGTACAGATGTGTCAGGTTTTATATAGGGTTTAACTGACTGATCCTGTTACGACTCGTAATAGAAGTGATAACTGGCAATAATGTTAATGACATGTACAACGCCTCTAACCTCACCTGCTCAAAAAGAGAATTTTTTCTAAGATTTATTGGTAGACGTCAATATAAACAGATTAACTTTCACATTAATTCAGAAATATATCAATTGGTCTCAATAAATATAGGGTGAAGAATTTGTCAACTGATGGTCGCTTAAATACAAAATATCGATAAACTTATTAGAACGGAACGGACTAATACTCAGTAAACCAAGTTCGTACTAAATAAATCAGTACAAATAAAAATGTACTGATAATCAATTAACAGAATTAACTTTAAATCAATATGCGAATTTTAATATTGGTTTCTTTCTAAATGATATTTTGTAGTGGTTGGCACTATGTCGAACCCTCATAACTCATCTTAGCTTCTGGATAAACCAATCTATCCATTCTCTTAAGTTACATTTTAACTTTGTTAATTATTCGCTTGTCAATATTGACTGTTCTTATGTAAGCGCACATGTGTTTATTTCTTATCTTACTCATCACAAATCTATGGCCTATTTTTGTGTGATTATAAATATCGATTTAACAACTTTCAGTGCATTTAGGTTGTAACTATTTATTGATTCCCGACGCGTTCCCATTGTAGTAGTTATTTCGCTATTATTTTGTTTTCGATGATGAATACTCAAATGTTAAAACTTGTTAATTTATAATCTTTAAGCTATTCATAGACGTTTTTTAATCACGAACTAATCTTGGTTAGACCATTATTGGAAACGTGAAATCATTGAACTGCCACTACGTTTTAGTATGGGACTCCTCAGAGGTGCGCATCCACGACCTCGCAACAGGCAGTTGAACCCTTGACCTTCGATCTTGATAGTTGATGTGGTTGAGACCACTGGAGTTGGAGCACGTCAGTTTTGAGACAGTTGCGCATTGCAGACAATGGAAGATGGTCATGCAATATCGTGAATTGTCTAGTTAAATATTATAACTGTTAAATACCGGCTCAGGTATAGAGTCTAAGCATTTATGTCCAAGAATGAAGGTCCTGGGTTCGATTTTCGGCTATAGTGTCCGACGTGTGCGTTTCTAGAACGCTCCATACTAGGAAAAGCGATCGTCCAGACTTTCAATGGTTGTCTAACTAAGATCAATTCGTGATAAAGAAAATTTTAGATTCTCCGCAAAGCCTTCTATCGATAATAGTCATTGAACTGTTTCACAATCCTCTTCATATGAAAATATCAATATATAAACAAAGAAAATTGTTTTCTGTAAATTTTTTTAAGGTTCCACAACCATATATCCAAATTATTAGTTCAAAAGTGACCGGATTCAGGGTAAATACATCTTATAATTATAATTGTAACGTATGAATTTAGGATTTTGCAAAATAAAATGAAATAATGAGATTAATGATCAGAATAAATATAGATAACACAGAGTAGAAGAAGTAATAATGTAAATAGAAATCCAACCAAATATTTGATGAAAGACTGTGCAATCTATAAAGTTATGTGAATTCAGTATGCAACAATAGAATGCGGCGAGTACCAAATGAAACTACTTATTTTCATGTTATTATTTTCTTTTAACCAGAAAATCGAGAAATGCTTGTTTGCATTCAACCTAGTGCTATTCGATAAATTACTTACCTGTTTATATATATATCCTGTTTAAACCATCATTTGTGTTTCTTTATGGTATGGTTTAACAACAGTGTCATTTTCTACGACTATATTAGTCGATCTTTCCCCTAAAAACACCTGTTTACTACCTTGACGTTTATTGCTAGGTTTCTTGCTCTGTTATCCGTACAGTTTCTGTGTATAGATAATTATGAATTGATTTCATCGTAAATCGGTACAAAATTCACTACTCACTTTCCTTTCCTTTACTTTTTCAAGAATATTAATGACTCAAAATACATGTGATGTAATTGAGCTTGGTATGGATACAGATATCAGTAAATATATGGATATTGAGTACATGGATGACTTGTCATCTGAAAAGTGTGGAGAACACGTGTGAGTTTCTAATAATTTTTTAAATGTTATTCCGTTTTTCAAATTTGAAAAATGTTGGAGTCCTTGTGAAAACGTTTCCACCTTCATTGAAACTGGGTTATTTGGCATGATCAAGTGAGGTCACTTAATAACCAAATGCAGGATTTCATATTACACTATCTGAGCTTCAGCCTCTGTTTAAATTCAAATTCTACCTCTCGGTTGTTCAATCTGACTTGTTTAGGCATTAAATATAGACGACGGCAGGAATAGTCGTAGCAGTAGGTTTTTTGGTTTGGTTTTAAAAGGTTCAGTTGTCTGTTTATGGATCCTCCTCTACCTATTCTCTCTGATTCAAAATTATGGGGATGCATTTTTGCTAGTGTTAACCAATTGTAACTGTCTAATTTGATCGCAGAAGAGAGCATGGCCTTGACGTCTTCGTTAATCATGTTTTTTGCGAAGAGTCCCATCTTGGACACTATAATTTCCTTATGCCTCCTCTCCGAATACGCTTTTTACTTGCAGGTTAGCTAGTTTGTAAAACTAAGCGTTTTCATGCTCTTAATTTTTCCTACCGGACCAACTTTTTCTGGATCTTCTTTTCTGATGCTTCACGTCAAACTTATTGTGAAGTCGTTCAGTCTTCACTTCCATATTATCCAATAATCCGAGCATAACTTACAAAATATTATTCCGTTTACATTTAAACACTGATACTGTCTCAGTAGGCTAGAAAAATTGACTTTCAGTGTAATAAAGACCATGGGCTTGTCTTACAACTTACTCAATATAACCGTAAAGTGTACAAATAGACTTCAATAAAACCACCCATATTCTGAGTTCTTGTCCTCACTCAGTGGGTCAGTTAAACGCAACGTAAAACCTAACACGTGTACATCTGCCAGTAAGATGAAATCGTTGGAGAATATCCCAGAGTGGTAGACGTGGTGTCAGTATAAGTGGTAATAGAAAAGATTCGGTATCGAAGATACGATTCAAGGGAATATAAATTAGTGAAATTAAAAATTTGGGGAATTCAGAGGCTGATAAAATGATAATTGTCGTCATCAGAGTTAATTGGATTTATTCAGTGTTTTTAACGCTATTAAGTTCACGAACAAAATAAAAAATTACAATCAAACATTAAAATTAAAAGTAATTTAACAGGAAATTAATCTTAACAGATAATGACAGTAGCCTATTTATAAGTGTTTAACCCATAGTTCCTAGTATTTTACTTTGTGTGTAAATAATTTATCCCATATTTTTCAGTTATATATCTCCTGAACAACTTCAATGCCATCTTTTAACACTATCAGGAATCCCATCATCATTTTTCACAACATTATTGAATTTGGATTTTGTTCGACAACGTAATCATCAAGCTGGAAAACTTTTGAATAATAATACTGCTACTCATTCAGTCGCAGAAAACCTCATGAATCTACCCTTCTTTCTGCCTGTTGTTGAGACAAATAAAGGCTTAGTATCAGCTGATGATGATTTTGGTAATGGATTATCAACTAAGCAACAGTTCATTAATAAAACAATGAATCGTAAACGGCGTGGGTTGTTGGATAAAGATTTCGAACACGCTGTTGAACCTATACATGGCTTATCTATGAGACTTATTCGAGCGAAATCAAATGATGAATGTAAGTGTTACTGCTGCGTTTTTTAAATTTTTAAACCACTCTTAAGTAGTATGATGCTTTTTCTTTTTAATCATATTCTGTAGTCTTTTGGAAACCCTGTCGAATCAAGTTTTTCTGCATATCTGAAGTAATATACAGACCCAAATTAAAAAATTTAGTGATACTCTTCTATAAGTATCAACAGTCATGACCACATACTAATTTGTTGTTCGGTCATACATGAAGTGTAGCAACACTATACTTTTCTTAAATCCCCACAGCAGAAATTTATCTTCTCTTTTTTGTCCTGTTACAAAGTACTAAAGATGTCACTAAAGTAACTCATGTTGTCATTAAAGATAATTCAGCGAATAAAGTTTTCTTTTCGACCATAGGTCGTTCAATCGTATTTGTAATTAATTAACAGGTAAGGTAATCTGTTAAAAAAATAAAAGGATGACTGCACAACTTAAGGTACCAAAAGAAAGTTGCGTAATAATCGATAATTTAAAGAGGACCAAATGAAGCTGAATATGTGGAACATATTTGTTTACTGGACGAGCATGAGAAAGGTGGAGAATGAGTTAAGAAAGTGGTAATAATAACGAATAGTTATATGCAAATTAAAAACATTCAAAGGACGTATCAAAGGCATTTTACCGTGTGTGATAAATTAGGTGTCATGACCATGGAAAATAATGGTTTTCACGAATCTCTTTTGATGCAGTAGTCTCCTGTTTAAAATGACAAATCAAAACCCTTCCGTACTAGTTTGTGCTCCTCTCCAACCACACTGTTTGACTGTATACATTTTGAAGGATATATCCGATGGAGTAGTTTCACCAGAGTTAACATGATGTCCCAATATTAATCAACTGATTGTTTTACGTACGTTTCTCGAAAACCACTTAGGATTCGATTAAAAAGTGCTCGTTTTGTGTAGCCAATGTTACCTGCATCAGAACACCAGGTAAACTTGTAATCACGCACTTATGTAGCCCCATACGGCAGTTTATCATTCACAAATCCACAAAAGATGAAGAAGCTTGTGAAAGTGATGCAAAACTAGCTTAACAGCATAAAAAAATTGTAAAAAGTAGTATATGTTTTTTCTTCGTATATCCTTTTTTGCTCATTCTAGTCGATCAAATTTCTGACGTCTTGAAATCAGTTGGGACAAGTGGATTAGATTTGGAAATTCGTCTGCTTGTTCCATCAGCTGAAGACGAAATGGCTTGTTGTAACCCTAACCAGACAAAAACATTCTATGATCATGTAACCAATCCTTACTTGAAACTTCATGGATTTCTTCGATATATAATTAATCGGTAAGCGAATGTTCATTTTATTGTAGTTATTTCTGTTGTTTGGTACCTCCTTCAGTACTCGAAGCCATGTGTTCCTCAATTCATCACTTTCCCGTTTGCCTTGAGAATTTCAAGCTAGTGTTCGCCATGTGACTCAGTTTAGTGGTTTCCACAGTTTATTTATTTATTGTTTATTTAAGCACATAAATATTGGTACTAGGAAGCACCAGATAAATATGCGCCTCACAAATCTCATTCGATTTGTGTGAGGGCTGTGATACTGCCCAAGTGCCCAGACTGAAGCAAGTGGTTTTCTTAGGGGGCCACACCCGGAGCCTTCGACCTAAAGGTCTGATCCACAAGGCAGTGGAGCATCGTGAGGCGATGCATTCCCATGGTAGCCGGTGACCAACAATTGGTTCATACGCCATTTGTTCACTCAGGATACTGGAGCCCATGTGCACCATTCGTTTGGAATCAGGGTTTGCCAACTCTCCTAGGTGGACTCGTGGTGTCAATCAACCCGGTTGAAGCGCCGGACATTCGCTTTTCGTCCTCTCACTTTCGTGAGTAACACCCATGTGGTGCGAGAAGGCGGTGAGTAGGACTTCCCTGACAGAGGCTATATATGGTTTCCACAGTGCGTCCTATCCACCCAACGCCTTTTCTTAATTTCCTTAACTGCAAGTTGGTTTGTTCTCAGTCAGAGCATGTTATTGCTGATTGTCTGTAGCCAATGGATCTGGAGTATTATGCGTAGATACCTGTTTACAAACATCTGTACCTTATTATGGGGGTTGTGTTCTCCAAGTTTCAGCTCTTTACGATAGAACTCTTTTGACGTTAGTGTTGAAAATTGTGACTTTGTTCTTGAGTGACAGTTGTTTTGAGTTTCAGATAATCTTCAATCGTAGGAATGTGCTACCATTGGTTTGTTGATTTGTGTTTTTATGTCCGAATCAAGTCCTCCTTGTTTATCGATGTTGTTGTATAGGCAGTGGAGGTTTCTACTTCTTCCAGAGCTTTTCCATCTGGTGTGATTCTGTTGGTGCTCACTGTTCTACGCCCCATGATCTTCCTTTTTCTCTTGTGAATGTTGAGGCCTATTTATTTGGAAGCCGCTGGTATACTGGGTATCCTCGTCTGCGTTTGCTTTCATGTATGCAATTAGGGGTCTGAGTCATCTCCAAAGTTCATATGGTCCAGTTGTGTCTTCTGTATTCCATGCTCCTCCTTAGATATAGGGGTCCTCGTCATCCAGTGGACAGATAGTAGCAAGGAAATGGATGAGAGTATGGAGCCTTTTCTGACACCGGTCCTTACTTGGAACAAGTCTGAGTTGCCATCCATGATCAATTGTTCATTTCCTTACAAAACCCAGTTTGTTGGTCTCTAGGTTGGACGTTATGCAACATTTCACTCAGGTTAGTAACACTGTTGAAGACTTTGTTTAGTACTGGCACTAGAGTAATGCCTCTTTCGTTCTCACACTTCCTAGGATCTTTTCTCGGTGTTGACAAGACCTCTCTCCTTATAGTCTTTTGTTGCTTGTTTTTTCTCTCAAATCTCTTTCCCCAATTTCAGTTGGTTTGTCGCTTTCAATATTACCAACAGCTTTGCTGATTTCTTCCATTATTTGTGCGGCATTATCTGTTTTAGAAGGTTTTAGGTTGTGCTTCAATGTGAGATTCAGTTGCTTGTTCCATTCAAGTGCTGTTGATTTTTGTTGACTGATTTTCTGGTCTACCATATTTCCCTGCTAGTTACTTGGATGTATATTCTAACCATACAATTATCCTTTAAGCTTGGCATCGGCTATTCGCTCTACTGTTTTTATTGCACTGAGTATGGTTTCTCTTCTATTTTCTCTTAACTACAGGTTTCAATCGAATCGAGATTTCGATCTTGCTTGCGTTTGCTTGGAAATCTTGTTGCAACAGCATAGTGACATTTTATTCCGACGTACTCATGCACAGAACAATTTGTTAAATGTAAATCAAAACCTAGACGAAATAGATGAAATGTATCTACAGATAGTGGAAAAAGATCAAGTGAAAGTGGATTCACTATCCCCTTATTTCGTTACATTAATTTTAATTAACCAAGCAATAAAGACTAAAAGAAAAGCACAAACGAACTTGACAAATTGTATAGCTCAATCTTTATGTTTAGTTGATTTCATTCGTAATCCCGTGACTGCCTTACAGTTATAAATAAAGATTAACATATTGCTATTTTTTACACATGTTCATGTACATTAATTTATTTTGAAACAAAAACGTTATTGGCAACGTAATAAAAGGATTTCGGAAAGCCGTTTTATTTATTTACTAAAATGCGTATAGATTTGGTTGTTTAGTTGTATAGCTTCACGGGAAATATAGCCATCAGCAGTGAATAATTCGCTTATCCTTCGTTGATGTTTATCCTACCGCGAATAGGTAGGGTTACATTTGGTGGAGATGGAGGTAGGCTCAAACCTAACCATTTTTATTGAATGCGTTAGTTCTGTGTAATTCAGTTTATTATGTAAGTTCTTCTTTGCTAGCTTCGACGATATGATTCTACAAAAACATATTTCAATGAATATAATAAGTAAACAAAGAGGAACCATTTCGATACTCTTATAACTAATTATTGTTTGAAATAAAAAGAATGACCTAGGAAGTAGAACTTAACCATTACTAAAAAAGTGAAAAAAATAAGCCACTTGTTATTCAAGATAAGGTTCGATAGATTGGAAACGAAATATTTTAATCACATTTGACAATAGTTGTCAAGTTAGGATTTCCCACAGTGAGTATATTACCATAAAGCAGAGCGAGAATGTGTAACTAAATAATAGGAATTTCTCAAGTTATCATTTAACTGAGCCGAATTCCACGTGCAAACCTAAAACGTAAACCAAGAGGAAAGTGCAAATCATATTTAAAGAAGCTAATAAATGAACTGAATTTCCAGTCGATGAAAAATTTTAACACTGCTTGGTCGTCGTGATGATATACACTCTCATCGTCGCTCGAGCTCGCGTTTGTTTAGCAATGCTTCCTATTCTCCTGGAAATCTGAGAAGGGATCGAAAACAAGTTCACGAAGGCCAACAAAAGTCCCTACATGTTTATCTTCTGGTAAGTTTCTTGTTTTATGTTAACGCCCACGCTCTCGCAAATAATCTAAAACAAACATCATCAAAATCCGTCCAGTGGTTTCGGAGATACAACGATTTTCATAGAACGGCTGGTCGGATTGAGATGATTCTTGTTTTATGTTAACGCCCACGCTCTCGCAAATAATCTAAAACAAACATCATCAAAATCCGTCC